ACTCGCGCCATCCACGCCGGGCAGGAGCCCGAGCAGTGGCGCTCGGGCGCCGTGGTGCCGCCGCTCTCGCTCTCCACCACCTTCAAGCAGCGGGCCCCGGGGCAGCACGCGGTGAGTGGCCCGCCAGCGGGAAACGTCGCGTGGTTTTGTTATCCCCCCCAATTCTCTCTCCCTTATTTCTCTAGGGCGCGGGGGGAAGGGGGGGGTTCAGCTAAAAGCAGCCCTTTTTGGCAGCGGGTCCCGAGGCGAGGGGCGCAGAGCAGTCGGGAAATTCAGCGTTTAACGGAGCTCCCCACCTGCCCGGGACGGGGCAAGGGAAAGGGAGGGGCACTCCCTGGTTCAAACACATTAAAGATGTGTTTCCTTATTTCATTGTTAAAGATGGCGGGGTTGTTTCTTCCCTTGAGGATGCTGTGACTTACCCTTGAAATTCAGGTTTCCTCGCAGTATCTGGTTAGACATGCAAAGCCGTGGTAGGAGAGGAGGATTATTTTCCCCTTTTAAATCCCTGTAGCGTGTGTGACTTCCAAAACTGTTGTTTTTCATCATTTTGGCTCCTGGAGTAAAAGAAACAAAACCAGACTTACTGTAATTTTTTTCTCTATTGGAAAAGATAAGTTTTCCCACAATGGACGGAAAGGCATGTTGTGTGTCAGGGAGACTTTCAATTTGAAAGTCACAGCAAGTTAAGTACTCAGCTTTCTTCTATGGGTAGACAGGCTTCCCTGTGATGCGCGCAAAGGGATTCAACTGAGGAAGCTGACCACCATATGGTGGCAGTGTCTTGGCACGTCAGGTGATTCACGTGCACCCAAAGGCTTTCATGAACCAAGGGAGATAACAATATTTAACCTGGCTACGAGGCCTGGACATTTTATCATTCACACAGACTGGGTAAGAGGTTGCTTCAATTGTCCTTCCAGATCTCATACATTTTCCATAAATATTTTGTGGCGGTCTTTTAGAAAGTACTTGAAGTGTTGAATTATCATAGAGTTCCTGATGGTCACAATGTGCATGCGAGGGAAATAACACAATTTTTCAATTCGTAAGTCGGTATTTGCCCCAAGCCCTAATTCTGAATGTCACTCTTTGCCAGTTGGGCAATAGGAATTTATCTTGTGACCTTTGATCACTTACGTAGACTAAAATTTTGACTAGTTATGAGCTAAAAACAGATTAATTAACTTGCTGAAGAACACAGGGGAAGTAGTCACAAGCTGCTGTTCTTAGGTACTGATAATACAGTGAGCCACGTTCTTACTGGAAGCTCAGTGAGAACAGCCTGTCAGATTCCTGAAGTTGTCTTTAAGCACAAACCCTGAAAGGACAAAAATACCAAGATGCTGAGCCAGGTTCTCTCTGTGACAAGCGCATCCATACATGCATGATTTTTTTTTTTCTTGTTTAATTTTTCAGTATTCATGTAAAAGCTGTTGGAGTCACACTTGGAACTTGGCATGATTGCATGCCAGGAAAATATCTGAGCTTTCTAAAGAACTTTTTGACTGGTCTTTGTCAGTCTGGTGCTGGTCAGTGCCTAAAGCATTTTTTCAAGCGAAGGGTTGTGGAGAAGGGACACATTCTTTCTGGTAAGAACATGAGAATGAGTGGACTGTGTCAGACCAAAGCCTCTTCTCCAACAGCAACCAGAGGTGGACATCTAGGAAAAAGGGAAAGAATGTGGCAAGCGATATGATATTTCTCCCAGTACTCTCCCAGTAACCATTTTCAGATTGGGGATGTCCAAAAAAGGGCTTGGAGACAGTTTCAGGGTTATTCTACTTGTTATCGTGGATACTTAAATATCTTTTGGAGTCTGCTCAGATGATCACCAATGATCACCTTAGTTTCAGTGTTAATTTCTGTGGACGCATGATCAAGATCAAGCATTATAATATCTGGGTCTGAGAGAAACAGATTGCTTTCAGTGAAGTCACCTGGAGTGGAAGGTACTCCTCATTTCACCGGATTGGGCCTCCCAGGCATCATAATTCAGATTTTGGCAGATTATTTGCTTTCTGGTTCGTGTAGATGATTCTAAATGATGTAATCCATGTTCATTTAGATAGTCACTATAATAAGACAAATATTCAAAGGTCGACTGGTGCTGTCTAGAACACAGATTCGCTTTAAAGAATAGAGAAATTAATTTTCTCTAAGTTCTTTCTTCATTAAGATACAGGCTGTGTTTTAGTCAGTCAAGAGTGGTCTAGTTTTTATTTAATTAATGCTTTATTTGAAAAGTGGCATGACATTTAAATGTGTTTTAGATTTTAAATGGATGGCACTCCATGAGATTAGTAAAGCTGTGTTGGTTGTCAGTAGCTGAATAAATATCTAGCCATTGATTTTCCAAATGGAGTGATGAGTGGCTAGTGACTGGAGCTGAACTGTGGACATCCCTTTAAAGCAAAATGAGCTTTTCACTCCAGGAACAGTTAACACAAAATATGTCAATGTATGTTAAAATTCACAGCAGATAAATCTAGGTAATGCTCACATAAATGTCTTGCTAGAGCTCGTGGGAGTTTAATGGCAAACAGACTTGTAAGGTAGGAGGGATGGATCCTACATTGTGTACAACAGGTTGATGTAGCCAGACCATCCCGCTGTTACTGGAAAGGATGGATGCATAGCCTGAATGTTGAGAATGAGGACCTTTGAAGGAAACCTAGGACTATTATTGTACAAAACTTTCTCTCACTGCTCTCTTTTAAGTTATGTTTGTTTCTTGCTTTCTCAACAGGGTTTTGAATATAGCCGGAGTGGAAATCCTACTCGGAATTGCCTGGAGAAGGCTGTAGCAGCACTAGATGGAGCTAAATACTGTAAGCAATTAATAGTTACCTGAAAAAAAGTTGTCAGCATGTGTATCTCTTGATAGTGCTTTACAGGAGACATATATTGTGGAGGCAAGGGTGTTGAGTTTTCACCAGCAGTTGTCTGACAGCAAGACTTTGACAGTCTTTGACTGCTGGTTAGAGGCAACAGCTGTTTTGATCCGTGCTGGGAAACTTAACGTTCAGGAAAGCCCAGCTCAATCATTGGTCTTTGTATAATGACTTGACTTCTTTTTGCTGCGTTTAATACCTAGGCTTAAGTTTAAGTATGGTGTTTCATGCTGTAAATTCATCCCTGTGTAACGGCACTGAATTCAGTGACGTGATTCAGCACTTATTATCAGACTTTATTACCAGTGTTCATCGAGGGTTACACCTTATATAAACAATGCTTGTTGCTTTTAGTGAATCTACTTAAAGAGTGAGGTATTGTAAGTGAGAGTGACAGGACAGATTCCTTTTGAAAGTGAAGTAAGGAAAGGCAAGTTTGACAGTGCTGTATCGTACTAAAATTTGATCTGCCTGCCATTCCTGTTCTCTGTTGTAGGTTTAGCTTATGCTTCTGGCTTGGCTGCTACTGTCAATATTATTCACCTGTTAAAGGCAGGGGATACAATTATCTGCATGGATGATGTCTACGGAGGTAAGTAAAGCATATGTTTTTGGTCTTAATTGTGCGAATGATTAAATGTACCTATTTGTATTTCTCATTAACCTTTTGCATTGCATACTTCTGATCTTATTATTTTTCAAAGCCTTTTCACTTCATGAGAACATGAGTTTATGGTTTTCACAACAGGAGAACATGAGAATAGCATATGGTTTCTTGTAGAAATACAGGTATTTTCTAAAAGAGATTATACAGACTTGGTGTTCAGCATTCAGAATCATACCTAGCAAGTCTTATGACTTATTTGTTATGGCTAGATGACAAACTGATGCTCTGGATAAGTGAATAAATTTTTAAAAACCTTGGCAGAAAGACCTAATGAATTAGTTTTTATTTCAGGCTGTGCTGCAGTTTGTCAGTACATTACAGATGGCTTATCTAGTGATCACCTAGTCACTTCTGTTTTCTTGTTTTTAATCTTTCCAGTGACAGGCTTCAAAAACAGAAAGGAACGGAATGTCTGTTCCTTACTGCATGCTAATTAAATGGAAGGAAAAGAAACATAGTAGCTGAAATATTCTCCTGGATTCTTCCTCTCCCTTAAATTCTCAATTAATTTCTGTTAAATAGAAAACAGACTCTGAAAATACATGGTGGGAAAATGTTATTAAAAGCAGGGGGGGGAAAATGATGTAAAAACTAAAACTGCTCACTTGCACGTAGCAAAGAGCTGGAAGAAATGCTAGAAGCAGGCACACTGAAATGGCCTGTGGGTCGGAGTTGTTTATTGTGTATTTATGTGATTGAATTGGTATAAGTAGATCCATTCTTTGTGATTTAATTTATATAGAGAGCGCCATTTTTGATATAACAGAAAAGAAATATCAGTTCATTCTAATTGTAACGCATTGTAAGATTGCAGATTGCCTCAGAGGCAGCTTGCCAATGTGAAAATACCCATTAGAACAGCATATGATGACTGCAAAAGTGTATTTTTGGACCAGCAAGAGTATTTCAGTTTAAGTTTAATTTCCCAATTAAAACAAGCCCAAACAGCATAATGCTATTAATTGAAAGTACTTCAGAAATCACTCTGATTCCGTATTCCTATTGCTTTTCAATGATGTATAAAATACAGCAACCTTTAAATCTTTTAGAAATAAAAACATACTAATCTGTCTTTTACAGTATACAGCATAAAACTTACACTCTGACTTTCCTTGATTATATACAAGAGACTGGAGATCAGTGAAGGGAAGTTAAATTTTGTATCTCAGTTCTTGGGATTTTTTTCCCCATCCTGTTAAATAAATTTAAAGCAAAACATTTCTTTTAAGTCTCTCTCTCTCTCTCTCTCCCTCTGTCTCTCTTTCTCTTTTTGTTAAGGGACAAACAGGTATTTCAGGAAAATAGCCATGAAAATGGGTTTGAATGTCATTTTTGTTGACTGTACAAAATTGGAATGCGTGGAAGCTTCAATTACACCAGAAACCAAGGTAGGAGAGAGAAATTGCTAATGTTATTTGCTTAATGTCCTTAAATAATTTTATTCTTACTTCTTGTATGGCCTTATGATAGGCTTTTATTTAGTGTATAAAATAAATAAATGCAATGCCTAGACATTTTTAACTTCTTAAGTCTCTCGGAAGCACTAGGAAATAGCACAGTTTCAGAGTGCTTTAAGAGTAGGAATAGGAAATCATCTGTAAGCAATAAAGGCTTGTTCAGAGAAATATGTTAAAAAGGCCTGTTGAAAAGGGGAAAGTTGTCGTTGGTGACAACGGGATTAATGCTGAAAGCCTAAGGGGCTTGAGAGCAGACTGATTTTTGTTTGGGAAGTAGTCAGTGGTGTCATAGCTATAATATTATTTAAAAAATGAATAAGCCGTGTTTTGGAGTGGTAATAATTGATCTCATGGAAGATAATACAGCTGTAAAAGACTTCCAAACTTGGACATAAAGTTTTCTTCTGGTTATGTCAGGCATTCTTCAGCTATGAAGGACTTAAGTTTTCAAAAGCTTTGCTGTTTTTAACACATAGCAATTGTTTTTGTGGAAAATAATACCTCCCAAGAAATCTTGCCTTTCTTCAGTAATGACCCTTCCTTATTTACACTCTGCAAACTGAATGGGAAGCTAAAACTCAGTAAGTTAACGTTAAAAAGCAATTAAGACTTCAAAGCCCATTTCTTCAAACATGAATGTAGCGTTTGTGTTGGTAGAACTGATGATAACAGAAGTATCCTAAATGATACTGATGATGATAATGATAAATGATGATGATGAAAAGTAACTGGTGTTTGTGAGTGAGAGAGGGGCCTGGATATTCAAGTATTGTTAGTTTTTTAGTCTGACACTATTAAAAATATATGAAAAGGAGGCAATGTTTGCTTTAAACACTGTGCAGTATACATGCATCATCACTAGCATTGTAATGTCTGCAAACTGATGGTTTATGTTGTTGAATTACTACAGCTTGTTTGGATTGAAACGCCTACAAACCCCACACTGAAGGTCATTGATATTCAAGGCTGTGCAGATGTAGTACATAAGCATAAAGATGTCCTTCTAGTAGTAGACAACACTTTTATGTCTGCATATTTCCAGGTAAACTGTTTGTTTGTTTGTTTGTTTACAATTATTCCATTATTTTGGTGTATTCAAAAGTACTTTTTTGAAAGTAGGAAGGACCACCAACAAAGAACTGTGATTTTGATCTATGTATTTAAAAATTGCCTTCTCTATTTGTAGGTACGAATGATGCACTGCTACTTTTTAAATTAGAGAAGATGGGATCCAAAATATTTTATAGCTAGTTATATAGAAATATGATGCCACCAAAAACAACATAGCTCAACAGTTAAACAAACATGCTGAATCGTTTTCAACATTCAATATTTTGGTGAACATGTGGCTTAAAAGTTTATAATTTTGGTCTCTGACTAGTCTCATAGCTCTTCTTTTTTTATACCTGGAATATATGAAGGTAAAGGTAGGTTTTTTTAAATTGCACAAGTATTTCTAAATAATAAACTTCGAAGTCTTGTTCATCTTAATGTGCACTAGAAATATTCATATACATTCATATACCAAGCTAACCCCTTGTATTATAGGGCTAATGAAAAACTGTTGTAGTTTTTTTTTTTCTTTCGGAGGATGAAACAAAAGGTGTCCTTGTGTTTATTAAGGATACTGAGATCTTTATAATTTAAGAGAGGTTTATAAAAAGTGTTAATGCTTAGCTAAAGTGGCACTTGAGTTTGTCTTGTACACATCAAAGGCTTGGTGGCTCTATATTTTTTCTTTTCCTGTATCTATTTTCCTCCTGAAAGATGCATGTGTGGAAGAAGCAAAGTGAACATCTGGAAATAAGAGCTAGTTCATACATATATCTTATATTGGCCTGGTCTTAAAAGGAAGTCTGATTTAATGATTAATTTCAGTAAGCGTTGATAGGTAATGTCTTCAAATCCTTCAAGACTGCTGTTGACACAAAGTACTAAGAAAATCATACTTCTAGAGTGATTTTTTTTTAAATATAGTAATATTGAATATAGAGGCACTGGTGTTAATGCTACTGTTCTCATGGCCAAGCATTGGGAATGCGTGCTATCTGTGTTCCTTGAAAGGACTTCCGTGTTTAATCTGAGAGCAGTGTTCTTTTGCTCTAAGTCTGATTACTGTATCACCTTTTAACACATTAGTACTCTTCAGTGTTTATAATACGTTTAAATTTTGTTCAAAACTGTTACTTAGTGACTGATTAAAAAAAGGTTGTTCATTACTTTTTGCCTATTAACATCTAGGTTTACCCTCCACCTTAAAAAGGCTGCTAACAAGGAAGTTGAACAGGTTAGAGAAGTGAGACTTGACAAACAAAAACCCGTTGCACTTTCCCCGGGTTTCCAGTTGTTCTTCCAACGTTGTATCACTAATACTGATACTTAGAAAGCTGAAAGATATTTTTCTTTGAAAACTACACCTACTTTAGTGTCTTGAGGCCTATATTTTAGATTGATTATCATTACTTATCCCCTCCTCAGCTAAGCAATGTAACTAATTTTTCATAAGTGTGAATGGGCTGTATGTTAGGTGCATTCAGTTCATTCAAATTACTTGCTCCTCTCACTGAAGTCAGTGGAAGTTAGACTGGTACCTTTGAATCACACTTTATTGTGGGTTCTTTTTATTGTGCTTATCATGAAGTCAAAGCTTTTTGTCACGTATTCTGTCTTTCTTCATTCTCTTATTTTTGTCTTGGTTTCTGTATCTATTGTTATGTTCTGGTTTTAATCACAGCATTTCTGGGCAGTTTGGGAAGGGCTAGAGTGCAAAAATAACTTTAATCAGACCTATTATTTTCATTTCATTTTAGCGTCCTTTATCTTTGGGGGCCGATATTTGTATGTATTCTGCAACCAAATACATGAATGGTAAGTATTTGAATTCCACACAACTCAGGCTGCTTGTTTAAAAGGCATTCCAAGTACCATAGAATCTTTATGTTACCTCGTGAACCTCTTCCATGTCTTACAGAAGCTTCTAAATTCATTTTGCCTTGGAGAAATCTATATATAGCTATTGCCAACTTGCTGCTAACGGTAGCAGTGAGTGATATTGTGCAAACACAGGTTGCACTGTGATAGTGTCCAGATGGTTTGCCTTAATGAAAAGAACAAATCCATGATATAAAACTGTATTTTTCAAACCCAGGCTCTCTCCAGGTTTGGCTGATTTTACAGTGTTCAGAATGAAGCAATCCTCGACAAGAAGCAGCCAACAGCGGCTATTGGAAATACACCACATATGCATACAGCCATCTGTAAAAGCAAATAGTAGGCCACAGAGCCACGTCCCAGAGCCTTAGTCCCTTCGTGGGTGCTGACTGCTGGCATAATTGTTGTGCAGTAACAGTTTGCTCTAGAAGCGCTCTGTCCTGGCTGGAATCCAGCCCTTGTACTCTCCTTCAACAGCCTGTCTCTCTTACACGTACCATTTCCTTACGTATTCTTGCCAGTCAGAGCTTTGGCCTCCACTCACGCTAGGTATGCCCTTTTCCTGATGCGCTTCCTCTCCTATTCCTCTCCTATTCCTCTCCCATTACACCTACTCTGGCTGCCTTGCTTTCTGCCAACAGCTGCAGGCAGTTCATAAAAGTGAATGCATCTGCCAGTAATTCTTAGATAGACCACTAGTTTTAGTCTCAGGAGTCTTCTTAGCTCCTAAACCATTCCTGAGGAGAGAAATACTGACATGACTTTGAAGCAGTATACCTAGAGGTATTTGTAGCCACGTTAGCTTTAATCTGGCTGCAACACAGCAAAGGGACTTCCTTGCAAGGTGGCTGCCAGAAGAGATATTAAGGGTGAAGGAAGATTTTACATGGCTGTATTGGAGCCCATTCAAAAGCATGTTCATTATGTTGTTTCCCAAACAATCCAGACTAAAATAAAGCTTAACTGTGCTACCTGTGCTATAACCACATGTTCTGATTGCGGTACAGATAAAAGCGGAAGCGTTCTAGCTGATGTTTGTTCTCGCTAAAGCAGCAGTCTGTGTTGCATATCTGCTCCACGAGAACATATTTGATTTCTAGACAAAGTCCTACTTTCTAGTAATTAGCTGCAGTGGGTATGGTAAGTATCTGGGGGCATGAGAAGAGGTCACACAACATGCAGAATTGCCCAGTGCTAACCATAACTTCAGAAGAAGCTGAAATCTGCCTTACAGTTTGTGTGTTGGTACAGGAAGGACAGCTGTAGCAATGAGGAGTCCAGTGTCTTGAAAACATGGGATTGTATTAGCACCAAGACTAAGAAAATTGGTTTATTGCAGAACACTGGAGCAGATGAAGTGGCTAATTTTGTTCTCATGTTCTCCCTGTATTTTTAGGACACAGCGATGTTGTAATGGGACTTGTTTCAGTAAATTGTGATGATCTCTATGAAAGGCTCAAATTCTTACAAAACTGTAAGTAGTCAATGTAAGAAATTCCTTAAAATGTATTATATTCAATTGTTATATTCAGATATACCGGCTCGTAATTGAAAGCGTATTGCATATACACAAGCCTGAAATCTATCTCTAGAGATGTAGCCCAAGCATGTAAATGTGAGAAAATGTACGTGACTGGAGAAGAAGTCGTAAAATAGATGTAGGAAACCTAAATTCTATTCCTTGCCTTTCTTAAGTATGTAGTACAGCCTTATGCAAGCATGGTAGCTTTCAGTATGCCCCCGTGGCTTCTTGATCAAATAAAGTTAATGACTCTGGTCTTCCCTCAAAAGCACTTTGTGGCTGCTGATAGAAAAACACTCAGAGTGTTATTTGTTACATGGGTTTTTCACCATATGGATTGTTTATAAATGTGGAGAAAGATGTTCTCAAATTTCAATGCCTGACAACAAATGGTCTAAATCAGGGCTATTCAGTCTATGACTTGTCCCTTTCTGTGGGCAATTCAGGGGACTGGCAAACTAGGATGAATTGTCTGGCGGTAGCTGCTTGAATCCAAGCACCATCTGTCACTGCAGGATTGAAGTTGAGACCATGGCAAAAAGCGCACAATCTTTTCCTGTATTCACTTGACTTCCCGCATAAGGAGAAATACAAACCTTTAAATTGTGTATCTATTTAATTTCATCTAACTTGTTTCAGTTATACTTGGGATTATTAAAACTCATTTGCAAAGCAGAGCTATTCAGCTGACGTAGAATTTGCATATATATTTTGATTTTAACAATAGAATTTTATTGCCTCAGGATTATAATGAATAGTAGTGTTCTGTCTGCCTCCTGTCTGCTACAGAAGGAGTAAAGGTATATTAGGTCTAACAGATTTCATCCTCAAGTCTGCAGTTATTAATTCACCTCATTAATTGCTTTCCTGTGTGTGTAAGATGAGGAGGACAGATGGCATTGGATTTGTCTCTCCCCTTGTCTTCTTCTAACTTTGAAATACTTTATACCTTTGCATCTGAGTGCTATGTTTGAGTTTCCAAGGTCCAAAGTAAATTCTGTGCACATGGAAGACAAGTTTCAGCAAGAATCAGTAGGAGTTATATCTGTTTGCTTCAGAGGTTAGCTTGGAAATTAGGACTGTATTTAATAGTTATATCAAAAATCTTTGTTTTATGTGTAATTTTGTCTTTTAATTTCTGTAGCTCTTGGAGCGATTCCATCTCCTTTTGACTGTTATCTATGCAATCGTGGTTTGAAGACACTGCAAATCCGGATGAAGCAACATTTCCACAATGCTTTGGCTGTTGCTCGATTTCTTGAGTCAGACTCCCGGGTGGAAAAAGTCCTTTTCCCTGGTAGGTTGGCCTGTCTTCAAAGCAGGTGACTTCTGCTGTAATACTGTCATTTATCTACCCATAACATTTGATGACTCTAGGTTAGGTGTCTACCTTGGCAATGTCTTAACATTCCTTTCCATGTGAAGAGTGTTTTTACAGTTTAGGGTGATTTGCTTTTGTCTTTGAAGTGATGGTAATTAATGTAAACAAACTCCTACCAATGTTACTAATTTCAGGATTGCCTTCACACCCTCAGCATGAGTTGATCAAGCGGCAGTGTACTGGCTGTCCTGGGATGGTAACCTTTTATATTAAAGGAAATCTTGAAACTGCAGTTACCTTTCTCAAGAATTTGAAGGTAAATGACAGTAAATATACGCTATCTTAAAGGGAATTGAATCTGTCCTTTTGAGTGTGGTAATGGAAGAAAGTGGTTTTCCTGGGGCAGGGAGAGTCTTCCTCTATGCTTGCAAAGCTCCTAATTTATTTTGGGTGTATTCATCTCTAAATAAAGGTTATCTGTAAGTGGGACACTGATGAGAGGGAAGAAAAGGTTTCCTCAACCCACTTGAAGTGTCTGTTTACACCGTATGGTATTCTATATTCAGGTTAGCCCAGGTATTGCTTCTAATAAAGTTCTTGCATACCAGTCTTTTACAATTAGCCATAGCATTTGAAAGCAGAGAAGCTGTGGCTGGTGTAATACTACAGTAGTATTTCAAAATACTTGTCAGGAGAAAATCCCAGTGAGAAATAACATGAATCATGAAGCAAACAGGGAGCCCCTTGATTTAGAGAGTAGTTGTTTGTTTATGTTATGAGCCATAGGATTTTGTGTTTTGTCTTTGTAATTCATGCATTCTGTCTGTACTCTTTAATGTGTTTGTAAGTCTTGTTCTCTGGTTAATTTGCATTCTGCTTTTGTATTCTTGTTTTGTGTTTGTGGAAAAACAAAGCGGGAATGACTGACAAAGCAAATTAGGACTTCCTCACCCTCCCTTTCTTACTTGCCTGCCAGTTAATGTCATCAGCAGAAAATGTAAATACTAACCAAATGATTTTCCCACAGAAAATCCTTTTGAATGAGGGTGAGTATTTAATCCTGGTGCAGGAGATCAACCAGATTTACCAACAAGTTAGAGTGCAGAAGCATGTTCCAGAAGATGAGAGTCCCCTATGTGAATATTCACTTTATGCCTTTGACTTGGCCAATCATCAGTTTAATCACTAGGTTGATAAAAAAGTAAGGCCGTTGCCTTACACCAGGCTGAGACAAGAGGATTCCCTGGTTGATAGGTTTAGTTTTCTGTGACCTCGCTGAGTACAAAAGAAAAAAAGGCAATATGAGCAACCAGAAGTGCAGAAAAATGTTGAAGGCAGTAAATGTGTTCATAGCAGACAAATCGGACAAATCGTGCATGAGTGCAGCCGACCCTCTAGAGAGCTGCTTTGTCATCCAGGAATATATCCATAATATAAAAATTAGTGTTAAAAAGCATTAGTTAATGGAAAACAGTTTTCAAACACAAGTCCTGTTATACACCCAGGAATTTAGGATGTTTTTCAAAATACTAAACTAACCTTCAGGCCCAAGGAACCAGTGAAAATAAATCTATTCAGTCTTATTGGAATAATCTTAAAGTTGTTGTTTGTTTGTGTGTTTGTTTGTTTCACAACACTCCTGCCTTCGGCCAGCCAAAAAATATAGGTGTTACACGTGAATATTGCTGAGTGATGGTGATGATGTGAGAAGAATAGGCAAGGATATGATAGAGGCACTTAAACCTTAATCTAAATTTGTAAGATATGAGTCTCATTTTATTCAGGCGGCCTGCTCTATCTATTCACTAAATAGAATGAAAACACTGGTAGTACCCATTCAGAATCCTCTCCCTAGTGTTGTTTGTTGTTTAATTTCCCTTCTGCTCTTCGCCGTCTACATGCATTGCATTATGGGAACTACTTTTGAGTTGCATTTGCTCAACATGAGAATATTTTAATTTCAGTTTTCCATCAGTGTCTTTTATTGTCATTTTAGGAAAAATCTATTTTAAGTCTTAACAGCTCTTGACTTCTAAATGTCCACCTTTTTTCCTTATTACAGCTAATATTTTTCATAATATAAAAGTTATTGCAGAAGACTTTAGCAAAAGTATACCAAAATAAGAAAACTAAAAGTTCTTGCTTCTTTCAGTGTCTCTTTCTAAGTAAGCATTCCTACTTTTATGCTTTTTATTTTAACTTCTGTTTGCTTTTTTTTGCTGTAGCTTTTTGCACTGGCTGAGAGTCTGGGAGGATATGAAAGCCTTGCAGAGCATCCGTAAGTCATTCCTCATCTTAAAAGTCTATTAAGAAAAATTCTGAAAAGCTGCACAGTAGCAAAAGAGTTTTTGATGTCTTTTTATGGTAGTTCTAAAATTTACTAGTATAAAAAAACTGTAATGATTTGTGTGTAATTGAGCTCCAAGGGTAGGATGTTGTATGACACAAAAACAATGGCTATTTCAGAAATCTGTGCTTTTTTTAAGTATAAGAAGAATACTACCTAACTACATTAAAATGTTCTTGAATGATAATAGGCTGTTCCAAATCTAATGCAGAGAGGTAAGAAATATCACACCCTTCAGCACTGTGGAGTGTTTGAGTGAGCCAGAATTGGAACAACCCTTGGAAGCTGCCCCTAATGGTATTGGGAAGATGCATCATTTGCAAGAGTGCAAAGATGCACGCCTAAGGTGTCCTTGCCCCGGCTGCGCTGCAGGTTTCATACTCTGCTGCTCAGGGCTTTGCCAGAGCATATGTGGTCTCTGTGCCTGGTCTCAAACTTCGCTGCCTAGGTATACCTTCTTCAGCACTCGCTCGCTCTCAGTTATAATTAGACCTGCATATTAAATATATATCAAAGTAGGTTCATCAGCATTCACTTTTCCATTTCTCCCCCAAATGGTTTATGGTGCCATTGGATGATGTTTAAATTAGGCTGATAGGTCTAAATTAGGCTGGTAGGTCTTAGATCCATGGACCAAATTGTTCTCGAACCATTGTAAATTTTAACAGTATTTTTTCACTATTTTTACCAATACTGTGCTAATACTTTCCACGGTTCCTTGTTTTAATTGGGAGACTGTTCTGCAAAATATTATGGTATCAAATCCAAGAAATGAGGTTTTTTTTTAATCTGGAAGTATTTAGTCTATTTGGTCTTATTACAGTGAGGAAAAATGCTTGCCATTCTAACTGCTTACACAAGGGGGCATATTCAGTACCTTAAACTGAACAGCATCTATCTTCACGTCAGGTAATTTTGTAGGGATTTTGGTAATACTCAACTGCCTCTGCCCAAAGTAATTGATCAGGTAGGTCTGTAGATTTTGCTGTGAAAGTAGCTGTTTAGACTCCTATCTACTCACTCCAACCATAGTGAAAATGAACATAATGTTGTGGCACCCATTTTTTTTTTTTCTTTTTTAACCTGCTGACATTTGGATGGGGGGGTCATTTACCTGCAAGATTTACCAAACAGATAGACAAGAGTATTTATTTTAAAAAGAGGCTTTTTATTTAATTGGATATTTAAATCCAATTTACTTTTATAAAAGAATACTTACTTGGAAAGTTATGATTAAACTATGTGCTAAATCGTTTCAGTTACTTATTTTAGAATAAAAGCAAATCTTAGACTTCCAAACAGCGGAAAGATAATTGCGACCTGGTGGAAGTCACTAGCTGAGCATATGGGGGAAATAGCTTCTTCTGCAGGTACAGAGAATAAACTGTTCAGTGTAAGTAGTACAGTTTGACAAGAGATCTGCGCAGCCAGAGGTTGAAAAAATGGAGATTTGTCTTTCAGTCTATGAGTAGAAACTAAGTATGAGAAAATGTGATCTGCTAGTTTTAAAATAGCGAAGAATATAAAGCGACTATTTCATTTTAAAAGAGATATTTTCTTTATTTGATGTTTAATAATCCAGTTTTGAGTAACTTTTCTTTCCTATGCATCCTGCACACTTATTTGACAAAATAATGCTTACAAGTGTTGTTCGTGCGTCTCATTTGGATTACAGTTCAAATGATGTTTGACATAAGTTTTGCTTAAAATAACTGAAGTGGCATTATTCATAATTTTCTACAAGAATAAAACTGAACAGAGTATATGTATGAGATTTATTTAAATAATTGTTATAGTTTTCTTAAACAGCAAAGTAATAAATTTTATGTAAATATTACTAAATTAATAACCGTTGCAAAGTATTGATTTGCAACCTATGAAGATCAGTCTTTTTTCAGGAAATGTCTTAGGTGTGAATACAAAACAAGATTAAAAAACCTGGCTGTAGTCTAAGATTCTACTTGTTGATTTGAACCACTTTGTTCTAAGTCTGGTGTACAGAATACTGTTATGCCTTCACATGGGGATTCAGGTGGTTCCTTTCTGTAAGCAAGGGAGATCTTAGACTAATGATTTCAAAGTTGCCCTAGCTGCTTTTTGATCGAGAAGGCCTCTCTCTGATGGATAGGTGCAAATTCTTCTATAATATTGCTGCATCTCCATATGCTTAAAGTAGAATTTTTAGATCCTCTTTTTCAGAAATTTTTTAAAAAAAATCTGGTAGGAAGAAGGGTAGGATTTTTTTCTGCTCTTTCAGTTCCACTTTTTATTCATGATTTGTAGTTTGGAAATACTGCACTGAATCACTTGAAGATACAAGTCACTGACTTCATTGAAGATCAGTCACTGCAAATTAAGTGAACTCCAATCTATAGGTTAGCTAGCAGATGATTAAAAAAAAGGTGTGAAATCTTCTTTCAATTACCGAGGATGCTGGCAAGTAACCAGTGTGGTTGGTCTCTACCAGTAAAAATAAAAACTTCTTAGAAAAACTTTTTTTTTTTCTTTCAGGGCCATCATGACTCACTCTTCAGTGCCTAAAGAAGATAGAGAGGCTCTTGGAATCAGTGATACATTAATTCGTCTATCAGTTGGTTTGGAAGATGAAGAAGATTTACTGGAAGACCTAGATCAAGCTCTGAAAGCTGCAGTAAGTTGGTTGTTATCTTAATGCCATCACTACAAAAAAAATTGCCCCTCTAATCCTCTGCTTTTCTAACTAATCACATGTGAGCTCTTTTATCAGTTTCACTGAATCTCAGAAGTGAGCTGCTAGTTAACTAACAGATGCAGCAACTGTCTCCTGGTAATTTTTACCTCACCTAATTTTTAAAATACTCCTAAACATGCCTTGCAGAGTGTGCGTACATTTTTAAAGTTTTCCTTATTAACGTTCTGTTTGCATCAAGTTTTACAACCCTTGTCAGTCACAGTTCAAATTCATGTAGATTCCTACTGCAAACAGATGATGTTCTTGGAGTCTGATTGATAGGGATAGCTGCTGAAGTTAGGGCAAATGGAGACTCTCATACAGGCATTGAAATGCTTAATAAGCCTGTATGTACTTTGAGATTTTCACGTCATAGTTTTTGAGAGCGTTAAATATATTAAGCAGCTTCATTTAAAGGGCTTCCACCAGACAGTAACTCCTATGTTTGCGTAACGTTATTTCCTTTATAAGCAAGGGAGTATTCCTGCTCCTCTGCCTAAAGTTCTGTATTTCAGACAGTAGGCTGAAATTGTTCTTTACTTATGGTGATTAATATGGTTCCATATTTTGTCTTTTCTTCTCAAGGCAGGTCTTCTAAAACACATTAAGCGTATATGCGTATGTGCTTGTTTGTGAGTATACATACCTGCACCTGTATAGGGGAGAGAGTAATGAAATGTTTCTTACTTGGTCCTATACAGCTTTGGATAGGCTTGTATTGGGACTGATAGAAAAGCAGTTTTTCTTGCAAGTTTTTTTTAATTACTCTTCTCTTACTGGAGTGGATTAGACATAATTGAAAAATATAAAGTAGGGCCACTTGGCTTTGAACTGGTGCATCAATGTGATGCATACTATTTGGAAGCTGCAGACTTGCAGTTTGATGTACCAGTTTTTCAGTGTAGAATATGCTATGTAGTACTATACTTTCTATTTATCAAACTGTAACTTATCAAGGGCATTGCCAATGTCTTTGGTTTCTGCAGTAGTGGATAATCTGTTAGGTTAATTTCACTGATCATCCTAGGAAGCAGATCACATCATGTGGTAGGTCCTTTCTCTTTCCCAAAAAGAGATTCCTGACCCTCTGGTATGCAGGAGAATTCCTTGTGATTTAAAATCTCATGACAGCTTTAAATCTGAATATATGAGCAAGACAAGCCAAGCAGATGTCCTTAGGCCTACCCACACACTCTGATTTAACCTCTAATTATGCCTAATCTCCAGAGCTTCAATGGAAGACTAAAAACCCTTCCAACCTTCAGAAGCATAACTGTGTGTTGGGGAGAGGAAGGAGAGCTTCTTCCTGCTCTTACAGGCAATAAACAGAGCCCAGAGGCATGAGATGGCCACAAGCAAAGCGTGAGCCCTTTCAAATGCCTTTGCAGATCTGGGGACATCCATTACCCAAGGATGTGCACTAGATCTTTGGTTCCTGTTGCAGGCTTGATTTTTGTTCTCAAAAACTGCTAAGTATCGTCAGACAATCCCATCCATAAAACTTCTTGTTCTGTCCTTACAATTCTAGGTTCCTTTCCCTCGTACCCTGTTTGTCTGGTATAGAACTTTGCTTCTAGATAGTTAGAAACTTTTGATTTCCAAAATCTAAACATATTCCTAACCTGTTTATATCCACTTGATCACACGTTGCTCCCACACAGGCAAGCATGGGTATTAGACATTTGTTGCTACTGAAAAAGTTTCATCAGGGAGGTGTGCTCTCTGCCACGCCATAGGAGGTATTCTCCTTCCCGAGAGAGGGGAGGGGGGGGGTCACAGAGAATGAGAGAGGCACCATATAGATCAAGGATTGCAGCAAAGCACATGCTTAAGAGGGGCTTCAACAAATGATGCACTAAAATGTAATAACCAACCACACTTTAAGAGCATGAGTTTCCATCTTCCCTTCTTCCAACTTATACTCTCATACTGTGGGAGCACCATAACTTTTGTCAGTTTGTTTTCTTCTACTGGGGATTCTGAGGATTTGTTAACTCCTCGAGTAGTCCTCGCAATGCTTAGCACAGAGTTCAGTGGAAAGACTGCCACAGTCTTTACTCAGTCTTGAAACAGCTCTAAGTCAATGGCAGAGGTAAAAGTAGATTCAGCACTGCCTTGTTTTCCTGCACCACCTCTGTTGGTGGGTACCAGCATTCCCAAAAGACAATTAGAAAAATTAAGGTGTTTGAAATTCAATTTTGTCCCTGTTTGAGAGAATACTATGTTACTGGTGGATAAAATATAAATCCAAGCCCTGTAGCAATTGTAGCAAATGTACAGTAGTTTGATACACTGCACAGCCAGGAAATTATTGTTTTCTTTCGTTGGTGATATGAAAAGTTAATAATAATTAGCAATAGTAACTACATGTATTTATATGGCAGCATAGAGCACAGAGATAATTTGGTGCTACTCTGTATCATTTTATAATGCCGAAAATTGAGTGGTGCATAGTTGATTTAGGTACATAGTATAATTATCTCATACTTTTCCTTCTTACTGCAGTTTCCAGAGAATAAGGCTTTCAACTAACATCTAAATCCTGAATTTGGAAGTTGAACGTTAAACAGCTAAAGAAGATGACACGAAAAGTCAAACTGCTAATAGTATTCCTTGGATTTGCCTTTGCGAATTGAAATCTGTTCAATCAAACTCTAGATTCCTGGGGAGTTTTCCCTTTGTGCTACTATGTTCATTCTGTTGATGTCTGTCTGTATGTGGGTTACACACTATTGCACAAACCTTATGCTCTCTTGTGTGTCCATTTCTGGTTGTATTATAATCCTGGTCACTGGAATTTAAGCGGTCGATTTGTGTTTGAGAGAAGCTGTGATATATACTCAGGAATATTATGGCCAGTTCTCTCAGTGGAAATTAACGTTTCTCATTTGCCATGCTAATGCTAAGAGGATGTTATGTCACTAGGGTTTGTTTCTGTTAATTAATTTTTCACACCTCTTCAAATCCAACAGTATGTCTTGAATACCGTTGATATAATTTAGATTTTTTACTGAGACTAGGAATTTTCCCACCCTTTGAAATTTTGTGGAGTACTGAAAATGAAGCAAAATCCAGTATCTGATACATAACGGTAACTTTGTAGAGATGTATCTTTGGCTTTTAAAAAAATCACTTAACTCTATTAATGATTTGGTTTGTATTTGGAATTGGAATTGGTTAATTAAAAGACACTTTGCATTTCTCTGTTTTTGTTACTCCTTTGGGTGTTAGAATATATTACTTGCATGCAAAATTAATTGATAAAGTGACCCTGGATTTGTTTGATTTCTCCTATAGGAAAATGATGCCATTGATGTTTTTAATTTTGTCAAGGAAAAAGAGATATAAATTGTTATATATTGGAATTCATCATGCAAATTGCAACATTCCTACAAACAAGGATTGCTATCAGACAGCAGACACTGACTCACAAAAGGGTATTTATTCACAGATTAGTGGTTTGCTGCATTGGATTTGTTGGTGCTTTGAAGTTTTGTAGACTTAGGGTTCTGTTTGTTGATGTCACAGTGATGAGAGCAGTGCATACACTAAATACCGAAACAGGAGTCAGATCCATGTTTTAAGTGAAGATCTTAATAGTCTGTGTTTTGCCTCTGCAAATATCCCGATGAAGACACTGAGGCTGTATCTAAAGTTAGATCTGAAAGCGCACTTAGAGCACATCCCAGCTACCTATTTAGGCAAGAGGCATGCATGCAGCCGTTCTGTTTTCCCCACTACTTACTGGTCTGGGTTCCTGCAGGAAGGAAACAGGAGCAGAAGGAGGCTATGGATGTTCTGGGAGAGGTTTCTTATCTAGGTAATAGACACAAGAAGCTTCAGGAAACTGCTTACTTGGATTAAGTGATCAGTGGGTTATCTGAAGCTGAGGCAGAACATTTCACGTATGCAGAACAGATATGAACCCTCATGCCTGCTTCCCCGAGGTAGAATGTGTGTTGATTTTTTTTTTTCTCTGTCTAAAGATCTGTGGTGAATAACCACAAAAGAAGCAAAAATACCATAGGCATTTATTACAAGACTGAGTACACGGATCTTTTTGGTAAGGTTTAAAAACTTTTACCTTTCCCAAACTAAACGAAAATTAGACTTGAAGGTTTTTTGTGTCTCTAGTTTTGTTTCTTTTTCGTTTTGTTTCTTTTTCTAAGAATGAGAGCTGATACTAAATGCTAGTTTGGTGACTTTTCACTCATTAGCTGATTAAAAGCCGATTTAGAATATCGTATACAATATAGTAAGTAGAACATACGTAAATGAGAAGAGTGGGATGTAATTGGCTGTACAGTAGCTATAAGCTGTTCTCCTTGGTGGTGACCTAAGACATAAAATAATTGTGATCTGCTTTTATTGTACGAGAATCTGAGCACTTGATGTTTCACATAGCTGGAAAAGATATTAGGTTTAAGATGCAAATGTTTTTCCTCTAGCCATAGAAGAGTTTTTCCTGGTTGATTCTTGATTAACATATTGCTAAAATAAATGAAACATGGGAGATAAGACTGCCAAATCAGGATTGCATTCTCTGGGAGAATGCTTGGAGTTGGTTTTTTAGTTTTTGCTTTTTAAAATTTTTTTTAAAAGTTGGCAGGCATTGGCATACTTGAAGAATTTTCCTGTTTCATATTGATTACTGTTGCCTGCTGATGCATAGAAGCACATTTATTCAACCTGTACTTATTTAAATATCACTGCTTACAGGTGTTGATATTCCTGAACTTCTGAAATACTCTGCAATGTGAATCGCCCAGTACAAAAAAGAAATTAGCGCACCAAAAAGGAAGGCTGGGCTTCAAAACTGTTTTTTTTTTTTCTGAGTATATAAGCAAGTAGTTTTTGATGGTCTCTGAGACTTTTTCTTTTTTTTCTCTTTTATTTCTTTTTCTTTTCTGCAGCTGTGTTGTTCTCTTCTTTCAGGGCATACCCAACCTCAGCTAACAGGATAAAGGTATAGACTGTTCCTCTCACAAGTTTGTTTATGCATCTCTCAGTTTTTTCTGTGATTAGAACCTTAAAAATATGTGACATATCAGTGACAGACTATGTCACTTAAATAAAAGTAGCATCCCATCAGAGAAACTATACCACAGAGCCGCTGGCACTAAAGAGCAGCTGAAACAGAAAAGCTAAGGGAAGCCAGAAAATTGATGTGCAATATGAAAAAAGGTCCTGTTTGGTGTCCTGGCAAATAGCTCTCTGCTTATGCCTCCCTCTAGCTCCTGCGGAGGCTGGGCAACCGCCTGTGCTGATTTTGGGTGCGGGGCTGGCTTGCAGCGTGGCCTAGAGTGCCAGAAGGCTGGCGTGCTCTGACTGCAGTGTTATGCAGGGCAGCCCAACAGCTGCAGGAGGCAGGATCACTCTTACCCAGCTCCAGCTCCAGATCTGCCTCTTGGAGGTATGTATCAAGGCACAGAGGCTGAAAAGTGATCCCAGGCAATTTATGGAGAACTTCTCAGTTTCCTGGAGGAAATAATGCCTTTTTAGCAACCAGTTAAGCATCCTGCAAGGCTGCTCAAACAAATACATGGAGCAATTTTTTGAACTGGGACCAGAACATGTAGCTGTATGGGCTATCAAAAAGGGAAGAGCTATGAGATAACACAGACAGAGGCTGATAATGATGGAAGGAGATGTATCATCGGCATGTTGTTTAGCGATTACGTTGCTTGCTTGCCTTTACACTCCTATTTGACCTTAAGATAACTTATCTTAAGGCCTGCTGCTGGCAGATTCATTACTGGTGCACTTGTTCACCCAAAGGGCATAAAACCATTCAATGCGACTGCAAGCTATAGTCCTGCACTCCTGAACTGTAGTTCAGGAGTAAAGCAGGCAGGGCCGTCTCTTCAACTGCACAGTTTCAGCTATGGGCACATAGAACATGGTGCATCTGTACAACAGACCATGCTACTTGCACTAGCAGCAAGAGAGTTTTCGGGGGGCCACTTCCAAATAACCACTTAAGTGACATTGCTGTCCCCAGCACTCACCATTACCTCTTGCTAAAATTCTAGGCAGTTAATAATGCTAGCAATCCCCAGGATGTCCCCGTTTTCCTTTTTTGAAGGAACCCAGGCAAGTTAGACCCAAAATACTCTGCATCTTATGTTCCTCTGCACCAGTAATTGTACTGTACAGTGTTCAAGCTTTAGATCTTTGAGCTCCGGGTTTCCTTTCTTTTTTTTTTTTTTTTTTAATTTATATCATTAGTAAACTCTTTCAAAAATCAGCTCACTAGCCTTGCCAATCTCTCTCTTTCTCCAGGTTTTCAGAGTTGACCTGAAGCATTACCTTTCTTGGTCTAGAATGGAAGTGCTACACAATGGTGTTCTCATTCCTTTAATGTGAAGCAGCCAGCCCTTTAGCCTGTGCATTAAGTTCTGTATATGCCCACAGGTTAGGCTCACCAGTCTTTTATCTTTTTATTTGATTTTTTACAAGTTTTGAATTAATTGCATTGTCATTTGTACAAAGATCGTGCACCTCCTTTACGCTGACTGATAACACAGAAATGACAAAAGGAGTATAAGGTCTCTAAAAAGAGATTCTTCTCATTGATAATAGTGCGGTTTGAAGAACGATCATGAATTTCAGCTAGTTGCATAGGCAACATAGTGAGTTCTTAAGATACATTTTTACAAAGATAGAGCAAATCAGAAGTTGTGGGGCTGAATAATGTAATTTAAATAACTATGGTAGTGGTTAAGATTCATTGAATGCAATGACTTAGTGCATCGATCTATTCTTTGTGAGAAAAGAGAACCAGACTTTAGGGTGCTTATGCACTTTTACTTAAAGATAATTGTATAGGCCTGTGTATGTAACATGATCCTGCAAAACATTTGAGTTCGTGCATAGCTTTAAACCAGGAAAGACTTCTATTTGCTGTGATTCAAGTTAAGCTTTTTATACCAGGTCAATACAGCATTACAGTGTGAAGCACAGAATACAAAGATTAACCTATCAACCTATCTAGGCACGGTGACTTCTGAGCAGCAAGCATTTATACATATGGACACACAAACAGCGCAGTTTAGGTTGTCTAGAATGATTAAATAGAGATTAACTCTTGGAAAAACTGAGATGACACTTTGTATGCCTGACGGATATCTCAGTTACTTATTTGCATTACTGGGTATATCATAAAAGCATGTGCAAAGTGAATAAAATGCTATATTTGATGTAACCTAGCAAATGATATAAAAATGAGGAGGTCTATTTAAAAAAAAAACAACAACAAAAGAATGACTGGCAGTGAGCAGTGTCAAAGTCATGGTTATTGTATTGTATGAGCTATTAACTGTTCCCATTTTAGCAAAAAAATCTGTTCTGTATTAATCTCCATTTTGAATTTTCATGTTCATGATTACAACGCTTTGTGACTAAATATCTAGTTTAATTTCTATATTCCCACGCTAGTTTTTTTCGTGTCTCTGCTGAGAAGGATGTAACATGAGTGATGAATATGGTCAGTTTTAGAAATGACAAACTAAATAGTGTACCTCCATCTGAGAGGAATTAATGTGAAAATGAGAATGTCCTAGGGAAAATACGTGCCCTTAGGTGGCAGCGATGGGCTGGAAACCTTTAATTTGCTGTTTATATAGAGTAAAGCAATAAAAGAATGAAAAAGTTGCATTTTTTCTCTTCCTGGGAGATCAGGAACCAGAAGCAATTTTTCCATTATGTGATTCATATAAATATCCTTGATCAACATTTCCAAGTTCAGTCACAAAAGTCAAAATAAAATTTCCTTAAAATGTCAAATAGAAAAGCTGTTACATCCAAATAATTCCTTTATTTGCTTAAAGACTAGACAGAGATTGGTGAACTGAGCTATGTGAAACTGAATTATGAATCAGGTCTGTATATGAGACAACCATAAAATTACACAAATGATTTCTGAGGGATAAAGCAAAATTAACCTATGAAGCAGCTCGGACCTTTTGTTGTTTAACATCTTCTAAAGCACTGATCCTGCAAGCTGCCAGAGTAATCTATGGGTTTTAGCCATGTGTCCCTAGTTCTGCAGGGCAAGAAGAGGCTGCAGTTATGGTTTGGGTCCTGTAAACCCACCTTTAGAGCTCGCTGCATCTGGTCAGCTCATTTTGACTGACTGTGCAGCTTCTTCCCACCTTGTTTCCAGGCTCAGAAAAATTGAAGCACACTGTCATCTGAGTCCATAC